TTCTGCACCTCTACGCCTACGCCCGAGCTCTCCTCCTCCTGGACCTCCGCTGCCATGAACTGGTACAGCTTGGAACTCCCAGAGATGCCCATCAAATCTACGAACGGGCGAGGGATCTCTCGGTGTCCAAGAAGCTTGATGTGGAACCTCCTGATTCGGTAGGGAGACCAGGTTGAAAAGTGGCCTCCTCCATCCTCCTTTGCCTCGGCGTAGGCTTTGAGGAAGTCGGCTGCGGCTTCGGTGTCGTGGATGCGCTGGCCCCTTTTCTCCGCTTCTCGCAGTAGAGCCTTCAGCAACCCTCCGATGCCATCGTGGGCGCCTTTGAAGTGCGACGTGACCGCGAAGTTGTGGATGAGGACGACACCAAGCCTGTGCAAGCTCTTGGCCACAGCGTGAAAGTTGCGCTTCCCCTTGTACTGTTTGGCGCACCCGTCGGTGAAGATGTGCACCGTGGGGACCGGTGTTCCAGCAGTAGCGGCCCGCCCATCCCCCGTGATGTAGTACCGAAGGATGATGTCCATGGCGTAGATGTGGAAATCGAAGTCATGGTTGGGGTCACTCGATACGACTACCCATGTGTCTGTCTCATGCCGACCGTCGTCGTCAGGACTGTGGTGAACTAGAGCCACCATCATGGTCGTGGAGGGCGCAGTAGCGCACGTCAAGATAGCGCCAGCCTCGTGCTTGTACTTCTCGATAAAGTCGGTCTCCACCAACAGCTCGCCTTTGGAGAACGTCGCCAGGCACATGTTGTGGGCTTGGCGCTGCCACTTTGCTAGCTCGTGGTGATGAATGTACTGAAGGACGAGAAACGAACGGGGGGAAAGGGGGGGCGGGGCAGGAAAACATAATTGTAAGCCGCGCGATTAATTGTGTTGATGCACGATTGACTACATGCCTCCAGCATTTTATGACGTTTTTCTTTTACCTCCGTTTTTTTTTTTGGCGGTAACCATAATTGTGGTCGAGTAGATCATGCTGTGCGGGGTGGAGTACCCTCACTCCGCGCAAGGGGGATGATCGCACCACGTTGTGTTAAAATGGTCAAGCACCCTCGAGGCAGTTACACAGTGCTT